CCCTGCACTGTGTGTGCCGAAATTAAAATACAATTTAAACACAAAATACAGTCAAATTGACTGCACTCATGCTATAAGGACACCATCTTAAAATGAATGTGTTTACGTTAATAGAAAGCACGTTCATTCTATTAATGTGTAAATCATACGTGACTCCAACATGACCCTCACAAACATTGTGGCACGCTGGCCTTGGTCAACAAACGATTCGTCTATCTTGACACATCGCAGTGTAGGGAACAGACCAAATGCAGACGCTGTGCGTGATGGCTGGCTTCTTGGCGAGTTTAACAATATTCAAAAGTAGAAACTGTGACAGTTTTGTTTTTAATATAATTATGACCTGCAGGCGACAGTGGCTTCCCCTGAGACGCCGGCTCCTCACCCCATTTGTAAACCCCCAGAGCTCAGAGGAAACCCATCATAACGAGGTCCCCTCTCAAGAATGCCTCGGGTGGCAGACTTTTATACCGTCCAGCAAAAGTGTGCAAGACTGTCAGGACGTGTGGTGCAAGAATCCGTGAGGATGTCATGTGGCGTTTGTAAAGAAAGACAAAAAGTTCATGTTTTAAAGGGATAGTTCACTTTGAAATAAATTTTTGGTATGTTTTAGAGTTTGACGGTATATTGTATAATTCTTTGGCTAGCAGTTGTGGAATAGACATAACGAGAAAGACTACACGTCGTATATGTGACGTCACCGCATAACACATTTTCCCTCCACAAAACACGGTGCGATAATCTAAGGAATTAGATCGAGATGCCTGTGTGTTTTGTACCCAAATGTCAACATTTAAACAATGGTTTGTTTAGCAGGATCCGTGGTGGTGACGTATATCCAACACTATCTCACGACCAATTCGTACGAATTCGATGCATGATTAAAAAGTGTCTAATTCGTACTAATTCGTACGACCTCACTCGTACTAATTCGTACGATTTGTCTAAACCCACGTGATGGTTAGGTTTAGGGGCGGGGTAAGGGGTAGGTCATTCGTACGAATTCATACGAATTGGCCAATTCGTAAAATATGTACGATTTAGCAAAATCGTATTAATTCGCACGAGTGAGGTCGTAGGAATAGTTACGAATTAGCCACTTTTTAATCATTCGTCGAATTCGTACGACTTGGTCGTGAGATCGGGTTGGTATATCAAACTGGTCGAAAGAGTTGTAGTCCACAAAGTGCTCTCACACAAAGTCTAACCGTATGAAAATTCTACCCGCTAAATTGTAGCATTCTTTACACGAAAAATTACATAAAACATTCACAAACAACATATGTTCATTGCAATATTCAAACGGGATTAGAAAATAATTATTTTCTCTCATTCACTTGCATTGACGATTTTTCAACCTAGTGGTCCAGCGGGGTTGGCGAAAGGGGCGGGACTTACCAGGTCTATATGACTGACAGACAAGAAAAAAAATTTTTTGACCTAAAAAATAATATCAAAATTGAAAATACTGCGGAAACAAAGACACCTACATCTTGAATGCACCTACATCTTGAGGTAAGCTAAAACATATCAAAAAATAATTTCAAAGTGATCTATCCCTTTAGCTGCATCTTTTAATCATTGCTCAATTTCTTGCATCCCAGCTCTGATCTGCAACCCTGTTGACAGTGTTTGTAGTCTCGCTGTAACTGCAGGACTGGGTCAGTAGCCATGTTTCCATCCACTTGTCAATCGAATTATCTGAAGTTCGGTTAAACACATGCGAATAAAGCTGGTGAAAGTGTGTTTCCATCCAACGGCTTTAAAGCGAATAAAAACCTGTACGTAATGACGTCACATGCTGTTTTGCGATCAAATTGGTATATCGAATTGATTTGAGACATTTTAAGGTGTTTCCATTCATTTTCGCACTGAATCGAACAACATTCGAGCAAACTTTTGCGAACAAAGTTTTGTTTGACAAAACGGATCGCGCCATCAAAAAATTCACAAGTTGAAGCCTAATAATGCTTATGTACCAGCTGATAGCGACATATGTATGGGATAATGTATGCGAGTTGGTTGTTGAAGGGGTTGTATTCGCTATAACAACCGCCTCGCTATATATTATCCTGCTTATTACATATAAATCAACCAAATAAATCAATAAATCAATAATTTGACACAAAATATTGACTTAAAAACAAGTTTTTATTTTAAAAACTTTACTGTTTTTACACATATTTTACTGTTTCCCTTAGGCATTTTTCATTCGATATCACTTAATTCGGATAAAAACGTGTTGATGGAAACAAGTGAGTAGGCTACCTGAACACTTTTGGACGTGCCAGACCCAGGGGATACTGCTTTGAGCCGGACGCTGTGCATCTGCATCTCCTGAACCTCTTGTTCCCCCACGGCTCAAGGCTCCGGAAGACTGGAGGACAAACAAGTGGCAACATTTATCTATTTATCCCTGCACACACTCAAACATGCAGCGTTAATGATTTTAACCTTTTCCAACACAATACCACACACGCTGACCTCCACAGTTATAGCCGCAATTTTGCTGTCCACTGATGTGAGATCAGCTGTACTTGGATCAATGCTCTGGCGGTGGGAGGACAGTTCTGTTTGCGTCCAGCTTGAATGAATGAGAATCTTTTTAGGCCACCAAATAACACCGTTTTCCAAGCCTCCACCTCCCCTACAAGCATTTCAATCTCAGCGTCTTATGTTTTTTTCCTCTTTCCTCACCTGTCGCCATTATTCAAAGTAACAGAAACACGCGTTTTCACTTTCTTGAATTAATTAATTGGCAGGTTGCATGCCAGTTTACAGGTATACATGGGATTTCACTCTCATTTACATGCCGATCAGCAATCATGAGGTGATTTGCATTGACTATTTATGGTTAAAGGGATACTTCACTTCTGGAAAGACTAAAATGGGTCATATGTAGAGAAAATGTGAAACTATTTTTGAATTTGGAGCTTTCTAGACTGAGAAAACCCAGAAAATGTATTTTTGGCGTATGTGGATGAAAGACAACAACTCCCAGAATGCACTTGCTTCGCTGCCCTAGGAGGCCACGCCTACCGCAGTCGTTAAACAACAAGTCTAGGCTACTAGTGAGTCTCCGTGAGTCTGCCAGGGATTTCGAGATGGCCCAAAATGTCCGGGATTTTCTTAGCAATGTTAAAGATCAACCGATCACTTGTTTAGCGTTCATGTTTACACTACATTCAGATTCAGATTTTGTTAATAATGCATGGCGACTGCAGAATCCCGGACATCGACGGTCGGACATGTCTGGGAAAAAGAGGACGGTAACCCCTAAAGTTACTACTCAGCTTTCTCCAGAGAACAAGAGCCTGCTAGCTTAGCTTCCAAAAAAGATGTCTGACACTATGTGTAATCCCAATCCTCCATAATGCATCCGTCTGTGTATTCAGTACCTTCGTCCATATTTTCAAAACGCTTCTGCCGGAAAAATCAAATGCACTGATCTGTGATTGGTCCGTTAGCAAATTAGGTCCAACCCCCTATGGGCGGGTTTGAAAGGGTGAGATCTAGTGCTCATAATCTTTACAGAAATCCCCCTCTTACACTTCGTCCTACAATGACGTAAAATGACAATTTTTGCGTAATTGTAGGAGGAAGTGAAAAAGGTAAATAGCAGATTTCACTCATCTCAGGGGAAAATGAGAGAGTGTTGCACGACCATTCAATAGTATGACTCGGTTTCTAACAATGGAAAGCTTAATGCAAATAGGTGGAGTGTCCCTTTAAAAATGGGCGTGTGCAGGGCGGGATATAAGGCTGGTTCACGCGCACATGTGCGGGTGATCTGTGGTTTATAAAGGGAATATTGCTTAAAGGTGTACGCACGGTTTTAGAAATCAGAATATTTTTCGTATACGCCATTTTTGGCTTTTGGGCGCACGTAAACTTTAGTAGGGATCCTACGCAGTTTCATAAATAAGACCCCTGATCATTATTAGAGATTTTAAGCCTGAACAATACGTCTTTTATAACCAATCAACAAAAGGAAGGGACACCACTGGTTAACTGAGTGGTTCACTTCTAATGTGATGTGTCGACTCATAATACACAGATGTGGACATCTTTGAAATAGATCAGTTCTGTGTGTTGTTGTTGTTGTTTTTTTTTTTTTAGCAAAAAATAGGGTCACAAATAACTTTTACTAAATACATTTTGCAATTTCAATTCCATAGCCTAATCACAAGAGGACTGTAAGATTATATAGTGTTTTGTGTCTGCACTACATATTAAAATTAATTTTTAGATGTAAAAATGTTCTTGCTCAGTAATCTGACTTGTGAAACTAATAATGTTGAAATATAAAATCCTATTAAAGCCATTGTTTTTGCAAAGTAATACAAATAATAGGCTATGTAATTGACCCATATATGGTTGAAGCAGTCGTCACGTTCTCCTTAATCTGTTGGTTCGGGTCCATTACTGAAAAAGAAAATAACTCAGCAGAAGAGTCTCATCTCTCTCGCCAGATCATGCTCGCCCCCTAGATTACACAGCTTTACACTCCAACAGTTCAGAACCAGCAGATAGAAACACTCTTCTGTGCCTGCAGCCATTCTGCTTCTTAACTCTACGAGGAACCATGATTGTTTTCTGTTTTTTTTAATTGTTTTTAATTATGCCTGCAATCTAGACAATGTAATTGTGTGTGTGTGTGTGTGTGTGTGATTTGTAGGCTAATACATTCTGCTGCACAACAAACTGGACAATAAAGTAATTCGAACTTGAATATATTTCTGTGCTAATATTAATCCTTCAACTTATCATCATTGTTCAGTATCGCTGTCTGAGAGCGCTGAGTACGTGTTATCATGTCAAACATGTCTGAGTGAAATTAATTACTCGATATCTTACAACGGTGACGAAAACATTCCCGCTTTGATCCTTGACATTCCATTATATGACATCACCATCATTGAGTCAGAGCCCGAGGACGCGCGCACATTACTCCCGCTGTGGCACGCGCGCGAGGAGCACTCATCATCATCATCAGTGAGGAGGAAGACACCGGATCAAGTTAGCAGGGAGGAAGACTCTTGTACTGAACCCTGTGTTTGTGCTCGTGTTCGCGTTTAATCATGGACGCGTCGCTCTTCCAGTTCTTCATTGAGGAATTCGGCGACTCCAACTGCACTCTCGTGGACGCGTTTCAACACACTTTATACGGGAACGCGTCTTTCGCGTCGATGAGTGTCGATGGTGGGGATTCTTTATTGGCGCGTTTGTGTTATTCGGCTCTTGTAATGCACATTAATCAGCATCGGTTATATATTTTCCTCTAAGGCATCTACTGTAACTCCACCACGGATGAAATCGGAACTTGCTGGCCGAGGAGCAACTCTGGGCGGATCATCGAGCGGCCGTGCCCGGAGTTCATCAACGGCGTCAAGTACAACACCACCAGTAAGAGCTCCCGCGCACTACACACACACTACACACACCCGAGGAGGACAGTAGGACAGGTGCGTGTGAGTACAGGACAGGTGTGTGTGTGAGTACAGTAGGACAGGTGTGTGTGAGTACAGTAGGACAGGTGTGTGTGTGAGTACAGTAGGACAGGTGTGTGTGGGTACAGTAGGACAGGTGTGTGTGAGTACAGTAGGACAGGTGTGTGTGGGTACAGTAGGACAGGTGTGTGTGAGTACAGGACAGGTGTGTGTGTGAGTACAGTAGGACAGGTGTGTGTGAGTACAGTAGGACAGGTGTGTGTGAGTACAGTAGGACAGGTGTGTGTGAGTACAGTAGGACAGGTGTGTGTGAGTACAGTAGGACAGGTGTGTGTGAGTACAGTAGGACAGGTGTGTGTGGGTACAGTAGGACAGGTGTGTGTGAGTACAGTAGGACAGGTGTGTGTGGGTACAGTAGGACAGGTGTGTGTGAGTACAGGACAGGTGTGTGTGTGAGTACAGTAGGACAGGTGTGTGTGAGTACAGTAGGACAGGTGTGTGTGAGTACAGTAGGACAGGTGTGTGTGAGTACAGTAGGACAGGTGTGTGTGAGTACAGTAGGATAGGTGTGTGTGTGAGTACAGTAGGACAGGTGTGTGTGAGTACAGTAGGACAGGTGTGTGTGAGTACAGTAGGACAGGTGTGTGTGAGTACAGTAGAACAGGTGTGTGTGAGTACAGTAGGACAGGTGTGTGTGAGTACAGTAGGACAGGTGTGTGTGTGAGTACAGTTGGACAGGTGTGTGTGAGTACAGTAGGACAGGTGTGTGTGAGTACAGTAGGACAGGTGTGTGTGAGTACAGTAGGACAGGTGTGTGTGTGAGTACAGTTGGACAGGTGTGTGTGAGTACAGTAGGACAGGTGTGTGTGAGTACAGTAGAACAGGTGTGTGTGAGTACAGTAGGGCAGGTGTGTGTGAGTACAGTAGGACAGGTGTGTGTGAGTACAGTAGGACAGGTGTGTGTGAGTACAGTAGAACAGGTGTGTGTGAGTACAGTAGGACAGGTGTGTGTGAGTACAGTAGGACAGGTGTGTGTGAGTACAGTTGGACAGGTGTGTGTGAGTACAGTAGGACAGGTGTGTGCGAGTACAGTAGAACAGGTGTGTGTGAGTACAGTAGGGCAGGTGTGTGTGAGTACAGTAGGACAGGTGTGTGTGAGTACAGTAGGACAGGTGTGTGCGAGTACAGTATGACAGGTGTGTGTGTGAGTACAGTAGGACAGGTGTGTGTGAGTACAGTAGGACAGGTGTGTGTGAGTACAGTAGAACAGGTGTGTGTGAGTACAGTAGGGCAGGTGTGTGTGAGTACAGTAGGACAGGTGTGTGTGAGTACAGTAGAACAGGTGTGTGTGAGTACAGTAGGGCAGGTGTGTGTGAGTACAGTAGGACAGGTGTGTGTGAGTACAGTAGAACAGGTGTGTGTGAGTACAGTAGGACAGGTGTGTGTGAGTACAGTAGAACAGGTGTGTGTGAGTACAGTAGGACAGGTGTGTGTGAGTACAGTAGGACAGGTGTGTGTGAGTACAGTAGAACAGGTGTGTGTGAGTACAGTAGGACAGGTGTGTGTGAGTACAGTAGAACAGGTGTGTGTGAGTACAGTAGGACAGGTGTGTGTGAGTACAGTAGAACAGGTGTGTGTGAGTACAGTAGGACAGGTGTGTGTGAGTACAGTAGAACAGGTGTGTGTGAGTACAGTAGGACAGGTGTGTGCGAGTACAGTAGGGCAGGTGTGTGTGAGTACAGTAGGACAGGTGTGTGTGAGTACAGTAGAACAGGTGTGTGTGAGTACAGTAGGGCAGGTGTGTGTGAGTACAGTAGGACAGGTGTGTGTGAGTACAGTAGAACAGGTGTGTGTGAGTACAGTAGGGCAGGTGTGTGTGAGTACAGTAGGACAGGTGTGTGTGAGTACAGTAGGACAGGTGTGTGTGAGTACAGTAGGACAGGTGTGTGTGAGTACAGTTGGACAGGTGTGTGTGAGTACAGTAGGACAGGTGTGTGTGAGTACAGTAGGACAGGTGTGTGTGAGTACAGTAGGGCAGGTGTGTGTGAGTACAGTAGGACAGGTGTGTGTGAGTACAGTAGGACAGGTGTGTGTGAGTACAGTAGGATAGGTGTGTGTGTGAGTACAGTAGGACAGGTGTGTGTGAGTACAGTAGGACAGGTGTGTGTGAGTACAGTAGGACAGGTGTGTGTGAGTACAGTAGGACAGGTGTGTGTGTGAGTACAGTTGGACAGGTGTGTGTGAGTACAGTAGGACAGGTGTGTGTGAGTACAGTAGGACAGGTGTGTGTGAGTACAGTAGGACAGGTGTGTGTGTGAGTACAGTTGGACAGGTGTGTGTGAGTACAGTAGGACAGGTGTGTGTGAGTACAGTAGAACAGGTGTGTGTGAGTACAGTAGGGCAGGTGTGTGTGAGTACAGTAGGACAGGTGTGTGTGAGTACAGTAGGACAGGTGTGTGTGAGTACAGTAGAACAGGTGTGTGTGAGTACAGTAGGACAGGTGTGTGTGAGTACAGTAGGACAGGTGTGTGTGAGTACAGTTGGACAGGTGTGTGTGAGTACAGTAGGACAGGTGTGTGCGAGTACAGTAGAACAGGTGTGTGTGAGTACAGTAGGGCAGGTGTGTGTGAGTACAGTAGGACAGGTGTGTGTGAGTACAGTAGGACAGGTGTGTGCGAGTACAGTATGACAGGTGTGTGTGTGAGTACAGTAGGACAGGTGTGTGTGAGTACAGTAGGACAGGTGTGTGTGAGTACAGTAGAACAGGTGTGTGTGAGTACAGTAGGGCAGGTGTGTGTGAGTACAGTAGGACAGGTGTGTGTGAGTACAGTAGAACAGGTGTGTGTGAGTACAGTAGGGCAGGTGTGTGTGAGTACAGTAGGACAGGTGTGTGTGAGTACAGTAGAACAGGTGTGTGTGAGTACAGTAGGACAGGTGTGTGTGAGTACAGTAGAACAGGTGTGTGTGAGTACAGTAGGACAGGTGTGTGTGAGTACAGTAGGACAGGTGTGTGTGAGTACAGTAGAACAGGTGTGTGTGAGTACAGTAGGACAGGTGTGTGTGAGTACAGTAGAACAGGTGTGTGTGAGTACAGTAGGACAGGTGTGTGTGAGTACAGTAGAACAGGTGTGTGTGAGTACAGTAGGACAGGTGTGTGTGAGTACAGTAGAACAGGTGTGTGTGAGTACAGTAGGACAGGTGTGTGCGAGTACAGTAGGGCAGGTGTGTGTGAGTACAGTAGGACAGGTGTGTGTGAGTACAGTAGAACAGGTGTGTGTGAGTACAGTAGGGCAGGTGTGTGTGAGTACAGTAGGACAGGTGTGTGTGAGTACAGTAGAACAGGTGTGTGTGAGTACAGTAGGGCAGGTGTGTGTGAGTACAGTAGGACAGGTGTGTGTGAGTACAGTAGGACAGGTGTGTGTGAGTACAGTAGGACAGGTGTGTGTGAGTACAGTTGGACAGGTGTGTGTGAGTACAGTAGGACAGGTGTGTGTGAGTACAGTAGGACAGGTGTGTGTGAGTACAGTAGGACAGGTGTGTGTGAGTACAGTAGGACAGGTGTGTGTGAGTACAGTAGGACAGGTGTGTGTGAGTACAGTAGGACAGGTGTGTGTGAGTACAGTAGGACAGGTGTGTGTGAGTACAGTAGGACAGGTGTGTGTGAGTACAGTAGGACAGGTGTGTGTGAGTACAGTAGGACAGGTGTGTGTGAGTACAGTAGGACAGGTGTGTGAGAGTACAGTAGGACAGGTGTGTGTGAGTACAGTAGGACAGGTGTGTGAGAGTACAGTAGGACAGGTGTGTGTGAGTACAGTAGGACAGGTGTGTGTGAGTACAGTAGGACAGGTGTGTGTGAGTACAGTAGGACAGGTGTGTGTGAGTACAGTAGAACAGGTGTGTGTGAGTACAGTAGGACAGGTGTGTGTGAGTACAGTAGGACAGGTGTGTGAGAGTACAGTAGGACAGGTGTGTGTGAGTACAGTAGGACAGGTGTGTGTGAGTACAGTAGGACAGGTGTGTGTGAGTACAGTAGGACAGGTGTGTGTGAGTACAGTAGGACAGGTGTGTGAGAGTACAGTAGGACAGGTGTGTGTGAGTACAGTAGGACAGGTGTGTGTGAGTACAGTAGGACAGGTGTGTGTGAGTACAGTAGGACAGTACTGTACACACACACATAAGCAGAGTTGGAGTTGAGAACCACTGGACAATTGTTTGTTCACCGTTTGTGCTTCTGTGTTCAGTGTTATCTGTCCTGCCACATGCTCTCTGCTCTAATGTGTGAGATCAAGCAAAGCTGTGAAGTACACACACACACACACACACACACAGCCTCCGTGCTGATGCTCAATTTTTAATATCTGCAGAAATATGCATGTAATTATCATGACATGAGAGTTGAAGTTGTGTCTGCTTGTTTGTTGTGAAATTGTGCGTGATCATGTTTTCATGAATATGCCAAAAGTATGCATTTGTGATAATCATTATCATTATATAATTTGAAAGAGAGATTACATGCATCGATTGAATTCTCCCGTGATAGACAGTATAGGTGTAGACACGAACACAAACAGAGCAAACAGAGCATTTATTGTTGTACTGTATATTTGATGTAGTTTCATGTAATCATTAAGATCAGAACATCAACAGATATGCAGAAGACACGTCATCTCAGCGTGTGTTTGGCCGGACTGCTGAAGTGTGTGTGTGTGTGTTTTCTTCAGCTATGAGCACAGGTCGTTCTCCTCTGTGTGAGGCACTTTCTTCAGCGTATGGATGTGACTTCCACATAATACAGAGCTGATCTGGGCACAGTTAAGGCGTTCACTGCTGAGCACTGAGAGTGTGTGTTTTTATTTTTTTCAGTGGCATCATGAATCCAGTTTGTCACGTCAATGGTGTCGATCTTTTCTGCTGTAAAATAAGACTATAGTCTTCTCTGTAAAAATCAATGTATCT